CGGAACGCAGCTTTACGATCCGACGTCCGACAGCGTGCGAGGAGTCACGCTCGAAGTGTACACGCTGCAGCAAAATACGACCTGTTTATGCAAGCTTCCTTCTCAGCAAGCTTCGCACCAGATCCTTAGCAGACGACTGCGTTGTACAGATAAGAAGGGATATCATGGAAACTTGTGCCTCCAAGCCAAATCTTTAAGCAAACATGCCTTTGAGCATTCAGACGGCGGTGTAACTTGGAGCGAGTCCATGATAGTTTCCATTCTTTTTCCAGGGACAGTAAAGAATCAACAAAAGGGATTAAAAATACCTTATTGCAAGCATAAATAGTCAAGCCGTGACTAATTTCTCCAAGAGCTCTTCCACTAACCAGTATCCAATATTAATAGATACCAATATACTAATTTCAGAACAATCAGGAGAACAAATTTGGAGGTACTCGAACCGTCACGTCAGAAACTATTTTATTAGTCATCATCATTCGCAGAGCACTCATGTCATCTCTTACTACCAAGAAATATTTTCTATGTTAAATTAAGATCACGTTAAACTGTTGAATGAACGTAATAAACTTCACCAGCTATTGAATATATATTATAGATTTCTAAGGACACAATTCAAGGTAGTTGTTCGTATGTCATAATACTCAAATTGCACAAATTATTCATGGAATTAAAAGAACGAAGATTGAAATTAGTTATCAAAGAAAAACCCGAAATGAAATTAATTTTCTCATTTAAATGGAATTGTTATCTGTGAATTGTATACGCCACAAGTTAGTACAAGCCAATATTTTAATTTAAAAAAACAATCGCAATTGTTAAATGACATGTTGGAATCGTTTGCTCAAATTAACATTGTATTGACATCGTTTCGTGAATGCATTTTGGAAACGCGCTCGAATAGCCTTCAGCAGCGCAAATGAACAAACGAACGACAAGCATTAACAACTATAAAATTACTTCAATTTATTTAAAATTGCGGTAATTCTTTCGATGGAGTAGCCTCCAGTTAAATATTGTGCACACTTGTGATCACAGAAACTTCGGTAATGCGTCAATAAAACCTCCTAGAGTTGAATTTAATAGATAATTGCAATAGTTTAGCGAGCGGAAACTTCAGTAACGCTTCAATGAAGTTAAGCAAGATAAATTCTTCAATGCTTTTGTTTTGTTCTAACGCCCGAGTGCGCTATTTTATGCGACGGTAATGCAGCCTGGTCCGTAATATCACAGCTGCGCGGACGATAAACCAAGTGTGCGCTCTGCATTATTTCCGTCTCCCCTCGAACAAAGAACACCAGGTGCTGGCAGCAACCAATACGAAATTTTTCTGTTAAAAATAGATTATTCCAAGAAGTTCTTATACGATAAAATAGAGTTGCGTAAACACAGCTGAGATATGTGATTTGGATACCTGATTTTTTGATGAGAATCGGAATAATAAAATCTAAGTCCTTGTCAGCAAATCGACTTCTTTTTTCATGTAGCTATAATGCACTTACCACCAAGAGACTTTAAGCAACAATCAACACTGCATCTTAGTGAAGTTTTTGCTTACCTCATTCTTGTTGTAGTGACAATTGACATTCTGAACTTTTCAATCTATTTTCAAGCATGCCTAATTATCCAATGAATCACGAAGCTACGTAATTATTCAATAATATTATTCAATGCAATATTATTTCTGCATTGTCATCTTCAGTCTAGAGGTTTTCGAGATGCGAATTAGCGTGTTATTAATTTAATTCTGCGGGTAGTGGAGCAAATGCATCACGTAGTCACGAGAAACGCATAATTCCGCTGAGCGTTAAGATGTGCTTATCAATATTCAGACGCAGGCAGCGCCTAATGAGAGCCTGCCACGGCTTCGTCGACTCCAAATGATCAACTATATTCTGACTGCGGGGGCCAATGTAGTATCCAGGATGCGGGTGGTGGGTATTTAATTATAGCTGATAATAAGCCCGCGATTGGGGCGGTGGTAATTTTCAGTGTGGGAGCACTGGGACTGACCGATCTTGGCCCTCTCATTAGTGATGGTAATTTTTGAGTCTCAGGAGCTGAGGAGATTGATTGGCTGGTTTATCATATTCACTTCAATTCATCAGTGATAATTGTTTAATAAATTGATAGGTAACTCATTTGCGATTAATCTTGTCTGATTAAATAAATATTATGAAATATCTTAGATCATTTTGATATGGATGACATAGCTGAAATAGAAAGTCTTAAATTTTTTACAAAATGCTTGGGAAAGCTAAAACCTAACATCCACTAACACTAATTTGATAAAACCCATTTAGGAAACTCACTTCGACTAAAAATGCAGTCAATCGAAGCGAGGTGTCGAATTTAGGCAATAAAGCCCGAGAAGTAACATATCTCAGTTGCTGATCTCTTCTCCCTTCAATTAATGATCTTTCTCTTCCTTGCATCGAACCTAAGGAGAAATTGACTCCTTCAAATTAAGTCAGCAATCACAGTTAACGAACGTAGCTTCTTGCTTCAGCGATCGGCAAAAGATGTTCATGGACGCTCCTGCCGCCGATTAGTGTGATTCAGGGCAAAGAAATCTTTTCATAGGAAACCATAGATTTTAGGCTTGACCCAGGCTTTCAAAATTTACAATTCTGATTTAATGGTGCAGTCTTTGAAATGTGTTAAATTCGATTAAGGATATAGGGATTTTATGGTGTCAGTTCAAGGCTAAACTATCAGTATTAAAATTTTGATGAAAGCCATGGAATGGACAGAAAATATTTTTCCCACGATTGTTTAAATGTCAATAAAATAAAAAATACATATATATTTCGTTTCAGACGATTCTGATTAATTTCATAACAACTGCTAGTCTAGGAGGAGGATACTCAAAACAGTTTAGTTTGAGATGGCAGGATTTGCTTGTTTATACACGCGCGATTAATGACCAGATATTTCGTTGATTTAAATTATCAGGGAGTCGTACAATTCTTCATATGCCGTTTGTGGATCGAAAGGCATGTTTCCGGAAGTAGTTTTAGTTTATTAACAACGTTTCGAATGCAGCAAACATTCATTTTCAAGTAGCAAGAAGTACTAAATATTGAAATTTTTCTGGAAATAAGACATAATATACGTAAATAGGATATGATGTTTTGGATTACATTATAGTTAATGGCGTAACATCTGTGACATTAAGCCACCGTTTCGAACACATGAGAAAAGCTCACAACCAGACCAGTTCTCAAAGCATTACGAACAAGCAACTTCATTTCCAGATCGTCGATGCATTCAACAGGCTTCGTGACAGGCCTCCAAGTGGCCGGTGTATGTAGTCTTTGAATTTTGCTTCAAACTAGGTTAACATTCTTTGGACTACATTGGAGTAATTGGACTAACAACCACGACATCGTGACCGTCTCACCTGTCATCTTCAGTCTGATGTTAGAGGAACCCCCTGAGACAAACAACAGGATTTGTCTGAACTTTAAGATTGTTTGCGGAGGGCTCGAACTTTTGTGTTGTATCATATTAACGTGTATAATGTACTTATTTCCAACAAAATTTCATTACTCAAAGCTTCTCTTAGCTTGAAAATTAATGTTACTACATCCGCAAAGTCGTTAATATATTATTATTACTGGTTAAACCAGCCTTTTGATCTATGGTCATCTAAAAAAATGTTCCCTGCTCATTAATATACTCATATAAAGAAGAAAATTCTGCCATCTAATACCAAATAAAAATTTCAGCACTTTCATTAGAATTAATATGAATTTTCAAATCTGATTTGAGAAACGTATTATTAGTCAAGTATTATTATGGGTATGTAATAAGTAATCGGAAATTTTCTATTTTTATCATCCCATTATATGTATATGTATAAATAATTGATCTTTATCCGAAGGAAAAAACTCTTAATTTTCATTTCAAGACTAATCTCTAACCTTAAATCCAATTTATAAAAAATCTGAAATGTAATTGTTAGCCAAGGTACAACACTGAAAAGATAAATAAAACTCTTCCGGATACTTTACCATTCATTACAAAGAACATTTGGTTTATATACATGACACAAAATTTATTGATATCCTAAAAATCGAAATGAATCAATGTGAACATTAACAGCAGTTTATTCACAGAATTAGAATACAATAACAAAATAAATTTTACACGCTTCCAGAAATGACAGAATCCTTGGCGATTCTTTTCGAAGCCACACATACACAAATGACACTTATTAAAATATGGTTTTATAGGGTGCTACCATCTTCTACTTTCATTCATATTCAATATTCTCAGCATATTCGTTATTGAATATCTATTTAATGTACATTTGAATGACCAGCTCTTCGGACTTTTCTCTTGGGGGGGGGGGGGAGGAGAGGTGCGATTTTAAAAGTTTGGTTTCAGAGTTACTGACATGATTTTGTTTATTTATTATGTAAAGAATCCCCTGGGTTTCGGCGAATTCGAAATTTTGAAAGTTCATCACAAACCGGCAATATTTTCCATACAAGCATGTGTGGAATATTTGGATGCCGCATAAATACTGTCGTCAAGATTGTTACGAAAACCAGTCCAAGTAGAACCCGTTCAATGGTTTTACACAAAGTTTTGAATTTGCGTTCATTATAAAAACTATATGCATATTGAATACGACAAATTCGAAGACCAGGAAATAAAATGATATCTTAAAACAATTCACGTGTCTTTGTAAATAGACATTGATTCAGATACTAAATCCAATCGAAGTCATTTTTAAATATTTCATCGACCATCGCAACAATCTTAAAGTAATATAGAATTTTTCTCATGTGATTTGCATCTTTCGAACTTATATACTTTAAAATTTGCATAGATTTAAACGTAGTGTACTGTTAACTGTCAAAAACTAGAAAAAGTAAATATGTTTCAATGAATTTATTCGTGCTATGGTGAAACTAAAGAACGAATATCGAAAGAGATTACTTTCACCGCACATTTTTTCTTCAAGTCCTAATGACAAATAATTTCTGCAGCAATTAAGAGCAATTTAAAAAAAAATGTATGTCATGAAATTTTTTTAGAGCCATGCGGAACACTTTGATGTTGTAGCTAGCAATTAAAAGTTGAAAAACGTCGTTTATTTTCAGCTGTGAGCAAATTGTGGCATTGACTCACTCTAATTGAAAGACCAATCCTCAATGCAAGTTGTTCCTTAGGACACAAAAGGGCACAACAGCAACGAATGAACAATTGAACACATACTAGACATTATTCACTTCATTTATAGAGTCACCGGTTCATCGATCGACTTACAATTTTAACGTACATTAAGACGCAAGAGATTCAGTACCGATGGAATCTCTAAAACGCCTCGAGAGTTACACTCGTGATTATCAAGAATCACGATTGCTCGGCATATTATTCACACACGATTCATAGTATATACATCAATTATAATTAAATGATGGTTTGTATTGTTTTTTGATAAAACTGTTTCCGTGTACGAATGTACTTCTTATATGTAATGTAATTCAATATTAATTTTGTCAGTTATTTTTACATTCTATTACTCTGGTAGTATCCTTATAGTATAAATTTATTCCTCTTTGATCAACTATTTAGATACATTCGCACTTACGTGTATTTACTCTATCGTCATGAGACATTCTAAATAGAATCAACTCATGTATATTTCTGACGCTGGCGCACGATAGACGCAGTGAACAAATGAATCTGACGAGTCACTGGGGTATCTTATTACTAGCTCGGTGTTGAATTGCATTGATTCACTATCATCGAAATCACGAATATCAGTGGACTTATTGACCGATTCTGATGGCTCGAAATTCAGGGTAATCGAAGATTTAGCAACAGATGCAAAGTATCCATTTGAGTCAATTCGAGTGTGAAATTCTGGGATTTTATTTTCATGATTACATTTTTGCCTTGTGTTGGGAGAGTCCAGTTCAGCAACATGATATTCATTAATGGATTCCATGTATGTATTTCTCTTATTACTAATAAATCTAGCGAAACTAGAGCAAATAGTGTGTGAAAATAGCGTTGATTCTGGTTTCGGAATTATTTGCTTCTGGGTCAATATTTTAGCAGGGGATCGGCCTGTTTTATCTTGGCTTCTTGGGCGATCGTAAGAATGTGATGGACGCTCGTGATGTGGCCGTTTTGCAAAACATTTGCGGCCGCCATCCGGTGTTTGGATGTAAACAAGGAGCAGCAGAAACAACGTCAGGACCAATGTTTCGGAAAACGAGCGAGGAGGATAAGCAGAATTGCGCCCGTCTTGCATAGCAGCCGGATGTTCTTCTAGGAGAAAATTTGTATGAACTGGATAAGAGTTTGTTGCGAGACACATGTAATGGACATAGAAATCAGTAATAATTTAATTCATAATTATTTGAAAAATTACTCAATGTCGTCTAAAGCGAATTATATTAATTCAATATGGTGGAGCTATGAATTTATTTGAATTAATACCACATCAATTAGCATATAGAAAATGTGGACAAAAAATCTACGGACTCCACTACAGAGATTTACTTTACTTTTGTTAACGGGCTAACATTGACTTAAATAATTTCACCAATGAAAAACTAGGTCAAGTTATGACAAAATATTAAAAAAAATTATTATTCACTAAATGGAAGCATATTTTTTATTTCTCAATAATTTTCAAAAAGCACGAGTGAAAATTTAAAACCACAGTAAAATTGTGATTAAACTAAAGCCTCAAAATATTAGACGACATTTCTAATCTAAATCAAATCGGTTCCAGTGACGCAAATTTTATAGCCGAGATAAGATAAAAATTGACATATTAACTTAGCAATAAATCGTACAAACTAAGTGCTCTTCTTGAAATCAATAGTCACCCACCACATGTTCGGTACAGAATGACAGCAATTAAGTCACTCTCTGCACTCACCGTTGAGAACGTGCAGAAGTGTGAAGGCGCCGTGCAGATTTGACGGCATGCAAGTGTAGTTGCCGCTCTGCTTCTTCTCAACACGTTCGATATGAAGAGATGACATTATGGATTCTTCGCCAGTCCGTGTCAAAGTCACCTGAGTAGACAGGAAACTTCCGATGTAATCATTGCCAGGGGAATTCAAATTGAAAACTGGCCTGACTTGAAAAAAATACGGTGCTAGCAGCACTTGATATCCGAATGTGAGACGGTGAACTTTCGATCGAGAGGATCTATGAGGTCGTTGAAGAAGATTTAATTTTTTCAAACTAAAGAAACAAGTGTTAAGAATTACTCGATTCCACAATTTACGTTTATTTTTTTCTATTTATGAATGTAATATATTCTTCTTTTCAAATCTAAAAACTTGTCCCCTTCGACTTTTAAAATATCTATGAAAGAAGATATTATGAATATTTAGCCCTAAAATCACGCAAATGCTCTCTTTTTTAATGTTTGTACTTAGGGAGGTTTAGTAATTTTCTGTCAACCTGAAATAATATAAATGAACGTTTCCTAGATTCACTTAAACTTCGAACAGTTAACAAAAAAAAACATTTATCGATTGCAAACATGTTCAACGATCGCTCCTCGGTGAGAGTTCGTCAAAAATTCTATCCTGGATACAATAACGCAAATCATCACATCATTTTTTGACTGAATAAATCATTTATGAAAGATTTAAATTCGAATGGAATTTTGAGTACCCATGAATCATTAACCTATCGAATATTCTGTTTAGTCTAATTGCTATGAATGAATAAGCCATCGAACTAAAATTCTTAATTATACATTTATAGCAATATAAAAACAAAAACTAGAGGATTTTAACTTTTTTCAGAACTAGTAGTGGAATAAGTTTCACCATGCAAACTAAATCTTTTTGTATCGTTCAGCATCAGTATCTCATTTAACCAACTATAATGCGTACTGATTCAACCGAGGTTAAAGTTTTGAACCACTGAACTAACAATTACATCGGCAAGTACACACTGTCAACATTTTTTTAAGTCGCACTGAGTCAAGTGAGAGTAAAAATCAATACATGATATCAGTCACGTTTGTATTTTCATCTCGGTAGACGCTCAGCCTATTTTGTTGCGTAGACAGTCGCGTGAGTAAACTAAATAAAACAATAATTTCAAAGAATGTTAATCTGCCTCAGAATACTTCCCAGAGTTAAGTATCAAATTACTGACGTCTAGTTTGTAGTCGATTTGGTCGTTTTACCTAATCATTCACTTATAGATTTCTGTCGGGTAGCCTCGTTCGTATCATCATTACTTCTAGAATACTTATCATCATTACATTACATTAATCTAGTATGCATAATCATTACATATGTTCAGATTTTTTTCGATACCGTACAGCAGCCTGGGTACATCACATCATCACTTATTTCTAGATTTCTGTCGGGTAGCCTCATCAGTACTTCTAGATTACGTATCGTTATTCCATTACATTAATCTAGTACGTATAATCATTAATCATTACATATGTTCAGATTTTTTTCGATGCCGTACAGCAGCCTCGGTACATTACAACATCACTCACTTCTAGATTTCTGTCGATGCGGTCGAGCACTCTGAGCTTGTCGTGGTACCAGAAGATGTAGTCAGGCATCTCGACGACATCAGTGATGTGACAGTCGATGCGCACTTTACTGCCGGCCTTCACGTGGCGGTCGTCTGGCGGCTCGATGTTCACCTGCGGCACTGTAAGAGAAAAAATAAAATTGAATCATCAAAGTTTTCATGGTTAGGTTTGTGAAAAATTATGAGTTTTAGGACACTTGTAGTCAAATTATAAGAAGCGGATGTTTTTTTTATTCATGATTGGAAATTTGTAGCCTTCATTTGATCTTCGGTCAAATGAAATCAAATTAAGGTATTAAATGGTTTTGACAGAACGTGCATGTGTCTGTACGTTATTAGGTCGAGGTTGATCTATAAATTTTGCACTATTCATTATTTGATATGAACTATAATATTAATCACAAAGCAACAATGAGATCTACAAGCGTGATTTTTTGACAGATTGTTTTACCAAATTTATCAATTATCAGGCATGGAATTGAGTCTCAACATTTTTTGTTTATTTAATGCCGACCTTAAGTAAATTTCAGTAAAATAACGAAAACAAGTTTAAACATTCTCCTCGGCAACTTCATTTCCCCGAAAATCTCGAGAAGCCACTCCATCACAACAGATTTTTTATTATTGATACAAAGCTATGGATGGATATATGCCATATATACAGTGTAATGTTGGCAACTGTAAGAACAACAGAAGACGTAAAGTTCTCTTACAAGACACAGGCGCAGAAGCCCCTGTTACTGGGGGATTGAGTTTTCATGACTGAAAAGATGACTGAGTAAGCATATCTAGAATGTTGATGTAAGGTGGAGAAAACGATGCGACTCAAATAGAAGGAAACGGGAGAGCTGTAGCTACGTTTGCACGACCTGTACGCATTATTTTCAAAGTTCAGTGAATACGCACGTCTTATCCTTCATTTGTTTTTATTTTTGTCATGCACGCTTCTTCTATATTCTATTACTATTATTCGACAAATTTACAAATTACTATTATTTGTACTATTAAATCGACAAATTATTAGGGCCATATTTTTTTAGATTCCAATATTCCTCTGATTTAAAATGTTAGAAAGGTATAAGAAAATTAAATTAATCATAGAATATATACGAAAAATGATTAATGTACACACAGTTATGAAAGGCCTTACAGAAAGCAGCACGAAAGCAAACATTGCTCGTTGAATCATTCGGCCTTAGTTGAGGCCTTAATTGTATGTGACGCTTCAGCGTCACTAGAGGGTCAATAATTAACTACTGAATTAATGCTGTTTTAATTTATTGAAGAAAACGAGTGAATTGCATGGTAAAAAATATTTAGAGCAGTAAATTCTGAGAGTAATTTATTCATGATATCTAAACTTCTCGTATGATGATATCTAGTAAATAACTACCGTAGTTAGGAAAAAAATACAAGAGTCAGGAAGCTTCACAAATTGGCTAAAACCAATTCTTAACCAAATTCAGAACTTTCCGCACCTGGCGCTGGCCTCAGTTTAAATAAGTTGGATCAGCTCATTTATACCTGAACATAATTTTTCCAAACGATTTTTTGAATAAGAAAAATTGCATCCCGAATTATTAAACTGTGGTTTTACTTGGCCATTCAAATTTTTGGCCTCTGAATCCCCACATGCAAAATAATGCTATTTTATATGAGTATTAATGATCTGAATTATATAAATGCTTTTTGCTTCATTATGCAACATTTAGAGGGTCTTTTAACAGTGGCGTACATTATGCAGAGTAAATGCGCAAATTTTCATTCAAGATGACACGAAAAATAGGCTCTACTTACACAAAACATTATATATTAAAATAGTCCCGACTGTTTTATTATTTATGCTTAGCTAAAGCATAGTTCAAGATGTCCGACACGGGAAATTGATTTAATTTTTGAAACGAAACAATGCGTATCCCGAGACCCAGGAAAGTCCTAAGGAGGCACAGGTCCACGATCAGGGAACCTTCAGATCAAAGGTCGACGAGTCACTGATCTCTCGCATTTGGGACAAGATTGCAGAGCTTAGCGTCGAGCGTGCAGCGATTTCACGGAGGATTACATTCTAAAGGATAGAGTTCATCAGAGGCCGTGTCAGGCATTGCTCTACAATTTACTACCAAACAGAATCACTACAGCAAATAGATTTTATGCATTTGGGTTGTCCAGCGCTTCGTGGATCCTAAAGGTAAGAAGGAATTTCCCTTTTTCATTGGACATTTTGATTATGGCGTATATTGGGATATTAAAAGTTTTTTCATTGGTTTCAATTTTTCCTACATGAAGCAGATAATTGCGAATAATTGCGAATAATTTGATAATTGGAATAAAAATAATTTAATCGTAATGAAATTATATTAGAATTATGCCACTTTGTACTTCCAATCGAATGACTAATACTAGAATAATTCATAGATGTTCATTTTAGTAATTAATATTAATTAATTCTAATGATTAAAAACTACATTTTTCACCCGATTAAATTATAAATCGAAGGCCTTAAGACAGTTGCAAATTTGAAGTTTATTAAATGTAAGATTAAAGTTGGCAAAGACGAGGATAAATATTTTTTATACGAATCTTGCCCATTTTGAGTATTTGCATATCAATGCCAACATCGGCGTGGCATTAGATATTGGAAGCGGCTTCAGCTCTCGTGAGCTTGGCTGGAAAATGTTATCCTCTTTAGTCGCTCAATGGAAGACCATTGGCAGTTTTTGAAGTTCAAAAATCGGGGTGCTGCTCGAATTTCCTGTGTCTCAAAACTTTAGATTTGATAAACAATCACATTTAACTAACGTGAAGACGAAGACTATAAAATTAATGCCCAGATATCTGTTCTAAAAAATATTTTAATTTTCTTTTCAGTAGTTTAAAGAATAATTTTCAGTTTTCTATTTAGTATTTCATCAAACTATGTCATAAAAGCCAGGAACGTTCTGTTCCCCATTTAGTTTATTTAGTCTGTTGTGTATACGAAATAGGTTCTGCGATTAGATTTCACTGTCAAATAACTAGATTATATTCTGTGATTCATTTTATTATTCTCTTATAATTACGTGTATTTTGTAATATTTTCTGAACACCTAATAAAAATTCACAGTCAGGTTCAGAGTCCAATATGTCAGCTTATTCAATTCAATAATGATGCTGTCTAGTAAGTGATATGGCGCTTGATCAGAAAGACTAAAAAAATTAAATCTGCTTAAGTTTGTCGGACTCCTCCTCCTCTGTCATAATCATCAATGCTTCCCTCTAAACTTTCAAGAAACTTTCCCAGAGATGTAACTTCTGAACATTGTTCCGTCAGCCTTTAGTCCTCACTAATTAACGAACATATATTGGCAAAGTCTCTTGAAAATCTGCTTCTTAATTGATGTCATCGCGTTGAAGACTTTTAGTGACTGGTTCGATGGGTGGAAGACTGTTAAAGAGAATATTAGGGATATTTTGAAAAAAAATTTTAACTCAGTCCTATTTCCGTTTGGATTGCAGATCTATCTGACTCAAAATATTCATGGCCTAAGTTATCCAAGATTTGTTATTAATAAAATAAGCATAGCGTCACCTACCTCCATTTAAATCAATGGTTGTGCGAAGTTATTTGCACAAGTTGATAATATCAAAAACAAAGCCAACATATTTAGGTCCCTCAAAGTCAGTACAATGCAAGTGTGTCACAGGAATAAAAGCTAATAAAGCTAATTGGATTACTCGCCTCGCATCTTCCAACTTGGCACACAAAATTCAAGCAACTTCACAGTCTTCTGCGTTCTGGCTAAGTCGATGGCTGATATCTTTCAAGCGGCGATAGCATCTCTGGAACAAAACTCTCCCGAGAAAGATGATGTAATCTGGGTGCAGTCCTATAAATTTTAGGAAAGTATGATGTGGGCAGGCTCAGATCGGCTTCTCGTGATGTCATAAATTACAGAGCAGCGTCCATATTTGTCAAAGAGACTTCTCTTCATCTTTGGACACTCGCGTGCTCTTCACTTCAGAACATGGCTGCACAAGCGAAGTGGCCTTGGTAAGAGCTGTCCAAGGAAATAGCTGCGTCTTATTGTGATGCTGCAGGACAAAAATTCTTCTCTTCGTCTCCAATGCATTACGAAAATTGCCCAGTTGTCCTGAGGCATCAAAATGATTGTGAACGGACGTGCAGCTACCAATAGTTCTCTACTCTGATCAACATAGTTGTTTACATAGGTGAACTGCGTTTCCAAAGAAATGATCAAGGAGCACTCCCTGTAAGTGATATCTTTGATCAAAACGATTCACTTCCTGAAGTATCATATATTTCAATATGGCCGTAAAACAAAATCAGTTTCAAATTTATATCTGACCCATTTTGAAAAATGTCTATGGAGGACCAATTTCAACTCAAATTTCCTAATTATTCAGTGACGATAAGCGAGCCCGCTCTGTTCCAGATTTTGGCACAATATAGAGCAGAGTGTTGAAGCTGGTTTAATAACGGAACAAATTCTGTTCACGCTTCCAATAACGACGAAGCATCAAAGGATCCTCGTACTTTGGAGAAAATCATCAGATGAGGTAAAACTTAATTATAAATTTCAAATTGGCAAGGATGCCCGAAAATGTTTTAGATTTTGTTATTTTTTGTAGGCGTGTGTCATGTCGATAATAATACGTTGCAACCGATTCTAATTAATTTGGATGCATAATTAAATTAGGTTAAAGTTTAGTGTAATAGTATAATTTCATGCAACCCATTGGCAAAATAAGATAATTATTAAACGAATTCCAGTTCTTGAAAACTTCCTTGTTGCTGTTGTAGTAAAATTCGGGGTCCCCCCGGTTTTACCCCGCGCTCTCAGTACGCGTATTGATACTTGTATCCGAACAACTTTATACTCACTAACCGGGAAAATCCAGAGCGAGGTAAAATTTTTACTTTTTCCATCATAACTCGGCAACGAGACGCCAAGTCGCACCTTAATGGAAGACGCTGCTTGAGCACATTGTATAAGACATCGTGGGATGTAAGAGGGTTGAGTTTATTGATATTGAAATTAAAATGTAGGGGGTAAGGGAACATTCTGGTTATCTTTCATATTCGCAATTCGATTTTTTAATTTGATTTACTGCACCAATAATGAGCGAAAACCGTTCTGGAGGCTTTCGTGCTCAACAAATTACAAAGGCAACATCTACTGCCTATATTTGATCGCCCTCCAACTAAATAATTGCTGATAAATACAAGGCTTTGCTGCTGGAAGAATTAAATCTTGTTTGTCTCGTCGAAAATATCTTACACCGTATAAAGCAGTTAAATTACAGTCGAGAGTGAAATTTTACTCAGGGATTTGTCAAAACTGACTTTAGCGCTTCATGTTTTACATAATGTAAATTTGAATGAATTCTATGTGACGAGTTGTGATAGTCATTGTCAGTGAATAATAATAGACATCTAAAAACTGAAACCATCTTACATATTTCAAAATCGATGCATTTGATTTTTCGTGTACGTATATTCATACGAAGCGCGTTGCTAGCTAAGTAAACAAATTAATATAGCCTAAACATTCTAATATTAATCTTAGAATTTATTATAGAAGTAGATGGATGAGTTAAGCTGAAGATCAGAGCCACTCGCCCTCGCCTGCTCAGGGAATTGCTTCCATAGACACCACAGCGCCGTCGCTCTCAGAAACATTTTTACTCACATTTTGCGTGGCTTTCATCAGCACAGATTATGCGTCGTCATCTGACCAAGGCTGGAGCTTGAGAATGTCTCTTATATCTCACGCTTCGTATTTCAGGCTGCCACAACGACTAAGAGAAGAGGCTTCTTGTCATAGAAAAAACTGGCACCAAAGTGCTCTCTGCTTTTCCATGGACAGAGATTCTTCTTTCAATAAAATCAGAGGAAAAATATTTGGAGTTTTTATTTTTGATTCGGAATATTATAGAATAATTTTGTATAAAAATGGCACAAAATAAAGTATTTACACGAAATTTATTAATTTTGTGTCCTAACAATTTACAAAACATTCAGAAGAATTTCGTATAATTTGTTAAAATTTCGACACGAGATTCTTTCAAAAATTGCTCTGGGAACCTCAGCCTTTGAAATATTCAATAGATACCAATTAACTACTGATTAATAAACGAAATCTGCTCAGTTATCGATATAATACCTAACCTAACAGAAAATGCCATTTCAAACAAGGTGCACATGCAGATTTAGGAAGAAAAGAAAAAAATGTTTTCCCAAAGCCGCTAATATATCCCTGTCTTGCTCGCAACGGCATCCTAACGAAATCTGATGGCATCAGGATTCTTTAGGCCAGCAGCACCAACGCGAACATTTCCGTCCTCCTTATTTTCAGTCGAGCACGCAATTGGCCTCGGCCACAAGTCGAGCCTGAGAACTTCAAAAAGATTCAGTGGTCCTTGCCATGCTTGGATATTCTCATGGATTCTTATACCGCCACCGCCATATGATCCAGGCTTACTCCTACCGAATAAAAAATTTTCTTTTTGGTTAATGATTTTCCCACAATTTAAAGAATTTGAAGGTCACGGGTTATAGAAAACCACATCCTCAAGTATTTCCTGTATAATTTTTCATCCAGCATCTCAATGTCTTTCTCGTCAAAAGGTTCCCGGGTTAAAAGAACCATATGAGCTTTGATCCAAATCAATTGCAAACAACCAAAACTCGATGGAAATCGTCGTAAAAAAATGCATCACAAATTTACTTTCCTCTAACGGAATTCTTTCTTGCCGCAAGGCATCTATTAATGGTCTTTTGAATCCCCCGGCCCTCAGAGGAAAAGAAAAACTGTGCTCTGAAAAGGTCGAGTATTGCAGGATTCAGGGAAAGATTTACTGATCTATTCAACCCAATACTTAAGTTTATAAAGTTATAGAACCTGCACTGTTATTTGTTTATGAATTCATTCGAATCTTAGATGATGAGCATGATGTGCAAGGAATAAAAACACATTCTTATATGTACTCAGGAAAAATTCATGCAACGGTGTTGGAAATGTTGGTTGAGTGAAATATTTCATCAAATAGAATTCACTTACAGAATTTACTTCAATTTAATGAACATTTCTGCATAACGAATATCTTTTTTGCAAAAATTATATAACTTTATACATGTAACAAAACAGAATTATTCTAAATGATGGACCGAATTTAATAAATTCGCATTTATTTAAGCAAAAATTCTAAATGATAAATTTACACATCAATATTATCATATGAGAATAATTATTTATTGTCATTCGACCTTAGATAGGCAGCAGAAACGATAGCATTCGAGTTACTTCCTATTTTGAACTATCTCCTTAATTGAAGTCTGTTCATAACACTTCCTTGTGTTAGCCTTTCCTTGCTTATCACGGTAGTTGCTTTCGGGTTTGTGACGTCATATAACGCAAGTTTATAAGCTCGGTCCCGAACCAGGAACTTCAGTCTTGGGCGAGGACAGTCTGGTGTAACCCATTACTCCTATCCACGTCTAAAGTACAGTAATGTCAATATTAATGTCAGAGTAGAGAACGATAGACGTATATACTCACGACTCCTCCTTACTTCAGTCGTGAGCCGATGGCAGTAGTGTTTAAGCTCTGACTTATAAGCCTTTATTCCCATAAACTGTAAGCCGTTTATAATCTTCAAATAATACTCTATAAAATATTACGTTGTTCCTTATTCAATTGCCGTATCACTGCTACTTACCGAATCAACCTCAGATCATGTATACAAATATTAAAGGAAGGGCGCCACACAGAAAAGTTCCCTCTCACACAAGGGCGGGAGAAAGTTTCAACTTTTTTTACATATTTATAAATGTTCAATATGTCCCCCTTGCCCCTTCAAGAAGTGACAATCAGTCATTTCCTGAGCGTTGGGTAGGACGCATAGGAAATGAAGATCAGGCTCTACACTTCTGGCCACCGAGATCACCTGATCTCACCCCATGTGACTATTTCTTATGGGGACAACGTGCAATCTTACCAACAACTCGGAGGTTGAAGAACTGGCTCATTTTCGTTCCGGTTGAGACTTGACACTCGTATTCGCCGGCGTCGCGCTCCTGCACGTAGTTGATGATCAGGTTCCAGGTTTCGGCCGCGGCAGAATATTGAGCCTCGAAGCGCTGGTCGCCCACGAACGTGTAGCGATCCACTGTCAGGATATCGGCATCGCGCATGCGCACCCAGGAGACCTGCCAAGCGAAACGAACATGATCAAATTTAGTTTATAAATTATTGCTATTATCATATTTCTTTTCATTATCATTAATATTATTTTTAATTTTAATAGAATTTATTATTATTAACATTAATATTATTATTCTTATTTTTAATATCATTATTATTGTCATTCTCCAATAAAATTGTTGCTTTCACGTTTATTTATCATACAGTCTTATTTCGATCAATATGATCCAGGTAAGCAATTAATGAAAATCATGTTAGAATTTTTGTTACAAGAACTAATTCAGCAAATGTTCCTAAGTTATGATGAACCAACGCGCAAAACAATTTTTGTGAAAAATTCACGTGCACCACCGCAATATTTTCGGTTTTCGGAAGGTCTAACCGTAGAAAAGTAAGTAGAAAAATGGCCAGCGCCGATTCTGTTCATTATCGCTCCATTTATTATCAATTTCGAGGCAGTTAAATAACAGAACTCGTACAAGTGCAAGTTTTAAAATTTATTCCAGCAGAAGCCATTGAAGTTTTATTTCAATCCATCATTTCTAACGATGCTTTTCGATTCTTTTCGACTAACTGACTGCTCGTCTGTGCCAAAATATTGTCGAAATAAGACTTCGTGATGTGACTGATGACGCAGAAAACTAAAAAAATGTTTGTAATGGCAATATTAATATAATTTGTGCACAGTTTTTGAGCCTATCTTACGCGTCATTTATGATTATTTTGATCACGATTCTGAAATCAACGAATACGTTAATTTCGGTTTTATGAATATGAATACTTTCTTTGTAGAATCCATTTAATTACTAATAATTACTTTAATTACTAACTTTCTGCTAAAAAAACAATTAAATATGGACGCTTAATTTGAGATGAACTAAAAGTTTAGGTTGGGTTAGGTTATGAAACTGAACAATAAATTAATGGAAATGCGCAAGGAGTACGAAATCTTACGTAGAAAAAATTTGGCTGATACTGAAATTGATAATGGTGAGGCACTGTGTTCACTATTTCTTCAGGATGAATAGGTCATAATTAATAACTGGCTCCTCAACTTATACTGAGAATATAAGTCAAGAACTAATCTGTTCCTTCATTGTCTCGTGGAAATTTATTGCCTATCTTTTTTATACACTTTCAGCTATTAATCAAATAGTTGACAGCCATTGCGCACATTGTCTTCAATAGAGGCTTTTTTATCCGTCAACCTGGCTTCAGCGAAAACAATCAGATTTACAGAGCGTTAGAAATACGGCCTCAGCGAGAACAATCAGATCTACTGAGCGTTAGAAACAACAGATATTTTTTTCTTGCAGGTAATTGGACTGACACAGCACGGAAGATTCATTGCAAGCGGAAAATAAAGACAGAAAGATTTGTATTGCCTATTCTCCATTTCCGAGATTAATAGAAATATTTGACAAGGAAGTAACCTTCGCTTATACATCAGTGTTTGAATAATAAAATAATTTCATTTTCATATTCAATCAAAAACTCTCAGAGCGAGAAGCTATTTTGCAGTTGTTTTTTTTCCCGTGAATTACTTCATAGTAGGAATTTTACTTCGATATTAATGGAAAAAATAAATATCAAATCGGCCGCTACGTGTTTTAAGGACGCTACGTTTAATTAGGCTGCTACATGTACAAAAGCAATTTTTTATAGTATGGCCCCTGATCCACTACCCGTGATCCACTACCCGTGATCCACTACCCGTGATCCACTACCCGTGATCCACTACCCGTGATCCACTACACGTGATCCACTACCCGTGATCCACTACAAAGCCGTATAGACCCACGGATTTGTCGCCCATCTGCCGGACGGTGCAAGGCAGCACGGCGCGGTCGCCCAGATGAGCTGTCAGGTTGCGTGGCGCCAGCGGGTCGAAGTACGGGCCTGTGTAGAGACCCGTGATGGAGGCTTCCGGGTCGTACGCAATACCGCCACCTGAAGAGGGAGGAATGGAGGGTTAATCAATATATTTTTTACAGTCTGTGGAGAACTGTAAACGAAAAACCGTAAGGTGCGAATGGAAGGTTAATCAATATATTTTTTACAGTCTCGGGAGTCTGTGGAGAAGTGTAAACAAAATACCGTAAGGTGCGAATGAAGTTTCTGAGTCGTACGCAATATTGCCACCTGAAGAGGGCGAAATTGAGGGTTAATCAATATATTTGTTATAGTCTCTGGGGTCTGCGGAGAACTGTAAACAAAATACCGTAAGGTGCGAATGAAATTTCTGGATCTTTAGCAATACCACAGCCTGAAAAGTGACAAATGGAGGGTTGAACGAATTTTCTACAATATAATTCGTGGCTGGAAAAGAGTTTTTGAAACAACGTGATATGCAAATGGAGCTGCCGGATCATAAGCAATACCGCCGCTTGAAGAGGAAAAATTGAGGGTTGTGCGAATTGTCTACAAAATGTATCGTGGATCAAGTGAGTATTCGAAATGGTGTACGGTGCAAGTGAAGCTTCTCCTCCGATTGAAACTGAATTAGGTCGTAAGATGTACTTTCTACAAAAAAAAGGAGATGTCAAAACTGTCCATGACTAAATTTCGACTTCGCTCAGACATTGAGGAAAAATGTTTTCAAATATTTTTTATAAACACATAATAAAAATCTCATGACCGTGAGCAACGCCTGAACCCTATTTTTGACCTTTTACTATTCCGCATAATATTTTGACAGGCATAAAAAATTTTTTTCGATTAATATTATCTTTATTAAACGTAAATTCGACATCAATTTCGATTGACGCGTAAATTTAGCCACAAGAAGTCGTGTGGAGCAGAAACATGTCGTTATTTGCGGACCACTTTGAAAGTTCGACAATCAGGTAATTCTAAAAGACGCAAGCAGTCATTGCCAAAGGTAACAATTTTCACGGGAAAAATAAGATATTATAGATTTGTTAATATAAGAATTTAAAATTGAACATCTATATAGACTTACAATTTCATAAGTAAATTCTCCTGTACCCAATTACATAAATTTCTGGCTCCAAATTATTTGCTCCAGGTCACTCAGAAGCTAATGAACCAGTCGAGCTTTGCTGATGTGTTTGCTCAGTAAATTGGAATTATATTCATTGAAAATCATCGATCCTTTCGTGCTCATTGGGCATTGGAAAGAAGACGTTATTTAAAAAGAACCGCCTTAGAGTAAGGAAGATTTCCCAATGGTATCATTCCAGAGTAAAATCATCAGAGGTTATTCATTTCTTCTTAGTAAAATTGCAAAATTTGTTTTATACCTTGATGCATTAGGCTGAAATTAACTCCAGATTGCTCATCTAAATCAAAAGTTCGGTAAATTTATTTAAAAAAAAGAGATTCGACAATCAGCAAAATGTTGAAACAATTTATGTGAACAATAATTGCTGATATATCTCCGTAATGTTTTACAATGACGCACCTATTAAAATGGAGCGCGCGCATTGTTTTGAACTTGATACGTCGATGCGGACAATTGCATGATTAGTTCTAATTAGTTTGGGCGAGCCAGACGCACGATGCAGAACAATTAACCAAATGAGCTCGTCGAAACACAAGTTTATTCTGAAAATTGGTGCTGTATTAAGTCGGCGGAATTATAGAAACCCGCATTGCAGATGCGCTGATGCAATCCTTACAAAATATAATACAGATGTAGCTCCACTATACCGCTAATATCTACAAACATGTTTTGATGAGCTTTACTTTCATATTTTTTTCCTTGCTCACAGAAAAAATGGCCTCAAACATTCACACACGTGGAAACATTTCAATTCCATATTAGTTATTCAAGTCGATACTCACGCGAAGAAAAAGAGTGTTCACCCATGTACTTTAAACGCGAATTGCGAAATTAGCCCAAGCCTCTAAGAATTAATGAACGCTATATTGACACTTCATTATTCCTATGCAATGACTGGAGCTCAATATCTCTTGTACACAAAAGTAATAGACCTAACTCCTCTTTTAAGGTAATATTTTCAGTTCAATGTAGACTCAGAATTATTTAGTGGTTATGAATCGTTAGTGAAGGCTGACGAGCTTTTGCTTCAACCTTTGTTCATTATTAAGGAAATGAATTTTGTTCGAGATTGTACGAGCATAAATTAGGAAAGAATTGTTATTACGATACATCTTATTTGGTACCAGTTTAAGTATATATTTTTATGTCAAAGTCACGGGCAAGTCTGGTACTTATACACGCAATTTGGGCTTAGGTATTTTTTTACTGCAATTTTCAAATAAATGTATCTGAATTTTAAATGGAAAAATAATTATATATAATAACTAAAATGGCTGATATAAAATACAATCCATAAACTAGTGAGTCAAAGCTTTCATGCCCAAGCAGTACCACGATGAATGAACTTCTAACACAATAATATGCGAGTAAAAAATATATTTTTGTTGATTTGCGCTCATAACTTACTTCTTCAAATGCATAAAGCGCGCCTGAATAAATGATGTCTGTCATTTGGTTTCAAGGCACCGCAAGCGTTTGGTTCGAACAGCTGAATGGGTTCAAAAATTGCCAACTACAATTCTGTCTTTGTTCTCCACTGACGCGCAATTTGTCGGAACTTATTTATTCAACGAATCGCAACTCAGGAATTCAGCAAAACTTGTGTTCATGGTTTGGCTATAATGCAAACATTTGTCACGAATATGAAAGCTATCAGATATCTTCCAATGCAACGATATAGTTGTACATTTCTCGAGAAAAATTCAACAGGCTATCGTTTGCTGAAATAAATATACGTGTTAGTCCACTTAAAAATCATACTTTTTTAAGTGAACTTCAGACGCATGCTAGAATACTCTTTGTTAATCAACTTCAAGTTAATATGCAATATGGCGTTATCTTTATTATTTTTGACAAAAAATCCGCATAAAATACCGAAGTGAACTTGTAAGGTTCTCTCAAGTTACCTTACAAGTACAAGTAAGCAGGTTAGCCCGTGATAACCTTCATAACGATGTTGATCTACTAACCGGGTTCAGACAATTTAATTTTAACGATCTTGGCATAACTTACAACGTAAGCGAAAGTGATATAATTAAGACAGATGCAGGACAAAACCGATTTGTTTGAGTATGTTTAACGTTGTTTCATGCAATACAAAAGCATAATTAGCCTGACGTTGCCGAGCAGGCATCAGTAGACAAGCAAAGACAGGCAAGGATATTTAGCAAGGATAACCCAGTGTCGCAGGTTGGCGTATGTCGCATTTCGTCATTACCTATGACTTTGTCTACCAGATTACCGCAGCTAAAAAAGCATAGGAGTTCGCCATAATTTCAGCAGCAACCTCGGGGGAAAATTCGTGGTAGCGAAGATACCATCCTGATACCCAACGCTCAAATGCCGTGCGACGACATAAAATTTTCAGAGGAACAGATAGGACGAGGAAGTATCCACGGTCCTAGGCATCAACGACAATATGTAAAAAATTAAATAGTCTATCTTTACAAGTAAAGCCTCTTAACACTTTTTATTTTACATCAATGATAACATATGCACCTCAGATAATGTAAATGAATCCGATATTTCAGAGTAGAATTTAACTAATTTTTAACCATTGGGCATCCGATGTGTGCATTTTAGAATTAAATTCTTATCAATGAGTTGTCCATCAATTATAAATATTTGAATATAGGAATTGCAATATAAGTTATTCGGTATATATCACCCAAAATATTCCGAGTGAAAATATTATTGTCGTACCAGAATCAGAAAGCAAACATCTCTAGGCGAGTTACTCCTGAAATAAATCTTGCGTACTCCTGATTCTTGGGCTGAGATCAAGGCAGCGCCAGGCTTCAAAGCCTGAGTAAACAGACCGCCAATGCGCCAACGGCTTGAATCAATAACTGAGCCTCAGGCTGCTTTCCATCAGCGAGACCTGCAGCCGGTAACAAGGATGCCTTCATATTCGTGAGCACAACATGAACTGCATCTGCGAGACCTGCAGCCGGTAGCAAGGATGCCTTCATATTCGTGAGCACAACATGAACTGCATCAGCGAGACCTGCAGCCGGTAACAAGGATGCCTTCATATTCGTGAGCACCACACGAACTGCATCAGCGAGACCTGCAGCCGGTAACGAGGACGCCTTCATATTCGTAAGCACTACATGAACTGCATCAGCGAGACCTGCAGCCGGTAACGAGGACGCCTTCATATTCGTAAGCACTACATGAACTTGATCAGTGATATTAAAGTTATCATTGTAATCTACAATAATCTATCTATCTGTAATTTTTCGTAAAATCTATTTTCCAAAACTAAATATCGCTGCACTGATCTGAGTGGAGTAACTTGCAGAGAATTACAGATATTTTCATTTAATTTGGACAAAAAATTCCTTACTAATTTTAATTCAAATTCAGCCTTCGATAAGATTGTATGATTCACTATGAAAATCGTTAACATATAATAACTTGAAACATCTAATTTTTCAATGATAAAAAATCTTATTATTGATTACCATGTTTCATTCTTCTATTAGAATTTTTGAAGCTAGGAATGAAATTTTAATTTCACAAGTGCATTAAACTTCAAGGAACCAATTTATTTCCGAACCATTGGTGTTTCTTCTAATTGTAAGCCACGCTACAAGTTTTGATAAAATTAGACTCGGGCAAAGCCATTACCACGAGAAGTAAAGCATAAAGGCACTAACGACGGTCGCGACAGAACTTTTATGTATTTTATGCTGCTACAAATCTCGCCCAATTTGAATGCAGTGTCGTAGACCGCGACAGGCGGCCTGGAGGAGAGGGTCTCATTAGTCGGGGCACGAGCGCTCTGTAGGCCTGGTATCGTGTGGCACGGATAGGCCGATCTTCGTGCATGATTGGTCATCAGACTATGGTATCTGAATAGAAAATCTGATTTCTTTTGTTGTCTGCAACGAATATTTCAGTGACACCAAGGCTCATTTAT